ATCAACCCGTTAATGGTTTAACGGCCGTTAAAATCTCAGTGACTAAATATTTAAAGGTTAATACGTTAAGTGACCACGTCTTAACTAAAACAAAACGATTGTAATTACAAATTAAATTTTTTTTGAATCAAGTGATAATATATTTATAAAACAGAAATAAAAGGGACCAACTCTGTAGTTTACCCAAAAGAATAATATTAAAAGTTGATTACTAAAGAAAATAGACCTAACAGTTACAGGTTTATCTAATTAACTGGCAAGGTCTGGCCCAATAAATACAAAAAAGCCCAAGAAAATCACTAGCAAAGGACAAGCTGATAATAAAACCCTAGCCCCCAACAACCTTTATTTTGATTCTAGGGTTTCTTTACTCATTGCAGCCTAGCAGAGGTAAGTAACGAGAAGAAGCGGCCGGGCTCGAGAATCTGTAGCCATGGGTCGTATGCACAGCCGAGGGTTAGTATTTCGTCTAGAACTTGATTCATTATCCTTTGAAAACAGCCTTATTGTTTCATCGATCGGGTCTCTTCTATCTTCGTCGCTGATTAGATTTTTTTTTGTTTGCAGTAAGGGTATTTCAGCATCCGCTTTGCCTTACAAGAGAACTCCGCCTAGTTGGTTGAAGATCTCTTCTCAGGATGTGAGTCATTTGTTTAGACGCTCCATTAATTTTACTTGCTTCAGTTTGGAAATAAATCGAGATGAATTTTAAGACCTGTTTGATTTAGATTAGTTGAAGAAACGAACTAGATTTTTTATTAATCGAAGTTTCTTTAATTAGATTTTGTCAAGGTTGAGATAAGCGAAAGCTGTGGGAGAAATCTCTAAATGATTGCTATTTGGGTTTCATAGTGCATTCAGTATAACAATACGGACTTGTGTCTGGCGTGATTACATTCTAATCGTAATTAATGTATATGTCCACCATTGATATTGGAAATGGAGCTCCAGGAATGTGAAGAGCTAGACTAACATAGTGACATGGCATTTAGTTATGTTCCAATGCTTTGTTTCTTCACGTTTCTCAAACTCGGAATCAAATTGGACTTTCGTTCTCGTTTGGTTTTGCATTCTTTTTTATGTATTAAACCGCAAGTTGTTTTGATTTTCGATTAGTATGTTATTCTTGAAGAATTCAAGTGTAACCATCAAAGGTTTGGGCTACTACTATATTTCATTTTAACATTCTAAAGGCTTTTTTTTGGGGGAGACGGGTATGTTATGTTAATTTGATTCTTCATTTTTCTTGAAGTATTCTCGTTCAACCCATTTGGCAATGTGTATGTGGTATGGTCCTCCAAATATATGAAAAAATTTAGAAACATTTTGCATACATGTGTTAGACATGTATCCATATCTTACACTCATCCTGAAGTCTGAGTAACATTGGTTTACATTTATGCTATGAGGAGTTGGAAAATTCCTACTCTTTCATTATGTTGATATAAAAAGTTTGTAGTATATTTTTTTGCAATATTTATTAATTTTGATTTTATCTTTTAGGTTGAGGAGAACATTTGCAAGTTTGCAAAGAAGGGTTTGACCCCATCTCAAATTGGTGTCATTCTCCGTGATTCTCATGGGATTGCTCAGGTGAAGAGTGTTACCGGCAGCAAGATTTTGCGTATACTGAAAGCCCGTGGTAGACATTTTTGACATTTTTGTTGCCTTTCTCTTTGTATGTGACGATAAACATTCGAGCTATTGATTTGATTGTCAGGCCTTGCTCCGGAAATTCCCGAGGATCTTTACCATCTGATTAAGAAAGCTGTTGCTATCAGAAAGCATCTTGAACGGAACAGGAAAGACAAGGATTCCAAGTTTAGGTTAATCCTGGTTGAGAGTAGAATTCACCGTCTTGCCCGCTATTACAAGAAGACAAAGAAGCTTCCACCAGTGTGGAAATAGTGAGTTTTTATACCCCTGCTTCCCATTGATGTTCGGAATGTGTTTTAGCTTATGATAGTTGGATGCATGTATCATTAACAAAAATATGTTCATATCTTTGGAGGATTTTATTTTTTATACCCATGTCCCAGTATGTATTGGTTGAAGTAACTTTGTGTTTAACCAATGTTGGAGGACTGCTCTTTTGGAAAATTTTGTTGTCCCCAATCTTAACATAATTTTCTTCATGCAGTGAATCTACCACCGCGAGCACTCTTGTGGCTTAGAGCCAGCTCAGTTCAAACCATCTTCTGGGTGTCACATTCTCCTGGATATACAGGGAAGAAGGCATTAAAGCTTTTTAAAGAACTAGTTGATTTATGTCTGAAATTGAGATACTTGGGAAGGAGATATTATGTTTAGTGTATCAGAACTATCTTTGTATTTTTCGTTTAATTTGAAATGTTTTTTTGGTGCTCTCAATCTTGCATTTGATTTCCTTTGCTTGGATCTAGGGATGGCAAACGGGCGGGTCGGGTGCGGATACCTCTTTCCCCATCCCCATACCCACCTAATATTTTTCAATTCACCACCCGCCCACCATCCATAATGGGTACAAATTTTCAAATTCACACCCGTCCACGCGGGTACATTTTCAAATCCATCCCCACACCCCACTACCCACTAGCGACATACCCATCTTAGACCCGCCTGACAGCAAACTAATGGGATGTTGGAGTTGGTTCCCAGATAGTTCGTGATGGGGTAGCAACGCATGCTTCAATTTGTCAGAGGATTGACTCTACGAATGTTATGGAGACGGATTGTAGGGAGCATGTAGTCGCAGAGCTGGATTGTTAAGTTTCTTTCGATGTTAATGCTCATAGTGCGCCTAAAATGGGTTTTGAGGTGCTAAAGAATATGGAAAGTGACGTGGTTAGTGAGATTATGTGTTTAATCAAATAGCCGAATATTTCCCTAATTAAAGATCAGACTAAATATCCTTAATATTTTGGTTAAATTATATATTATATATTATACAATATTAAAATTTATAATTTAGTCTCTAAAATTACACCTAAATTCATAATGGTCCAAAATTTAATAGATATTTAACTGGGCGGGTGGATGTGGGGCGGGCGGATGCGAGGCGGGAGGATGCGGGACGGGCGGATGCGGGGCGGGTAATGTCTCAAACCCATTACCCGCCCACCACCCATGACGGGTACCACTTTATAAAACCACACCCGCCCACTACCCGCTAAAATTATACCCATCCTCGCTCCAATTGGAGCGGATGCGGTGCGAAATTCACGAAACTGTACCCGTTTGCCATCCCTACTTGGATCTAAGGGTCCATCACATTGAGTTGCATTCAAGCTTAAAAAAGATCGAGCTAGACACGATTACTTCTTGAACTTAAAATTCGAGGTGTTCGAGCATATTACAGTCATAATGTCGATGTGGCTCACCTACATTCCCATCGGACCCTTCAGGGTTGCACCTGGAGATTTGAACCTAGATAATATTTGCTCTGAAACCCTTTCTATGAAAAGAGAAGAAATGGTATAACAGAAATCTCTAGACGGTGCAGTATTTGAGCCACTGTGAACCTGACTTTCACCTTAGTTTGTCTCAGCAAGTTACACCTATTGGTAACAACTTCCTGTATACAATTGGAAAATCGACTCCTGTTTTAAATTGAAATATCTCGACCAAGGGACTAAATAAAAAGGCCAACTTTTGGAGTCCCCTTACGGAATTAGCCATGCTAACAAATCACTAATAAGATATGCTCAACTATCGCCACGAAATCAGCACTTCATTTCGTTCCAAATTGCTTAAAAATGAGGACTCTATAGTCGGATAATTCGGAGTTTTGGTCCCTACTTGGCACACAATCTCGGGAACTTGTAGTTTTGGTCCCTACTTGGCACACAATCTCGGGAATGGTTATTGTCCCTGCTTAGCACACAATCTCCGGAATTTGGAGTTTTGGTCCCTGCTTCGCAGTTCCGTAGGGTTGCTTGATTGTTCGGAAAGGAGCAATTGCTTCAGACCGGGACCCATATCTTCAAAATCGTAACATCAACATCCCAAAATCATAATTTTATAAGATCCAGTCAATGATTTAAAAACGCCGATTCAATTAACGGTTAAAGAAAAAAAATCAGTTTGGGAAGTGATTTTATCAGTGGTTGAACCGACTGTTTGAACACCCTTGCTCAATCCAGATCAATCTATGTTAAAAATTGTCATTGAAGTTTAATTTCTTAAAATATTTCTAATTAAGTCCCATTTTTTAAAGGAACCGCTGCTGCCGGTTCTTTTCTTCCTTTACCAAACACCCCTGTATTTGATGTTCACATTTGACATATAAACTGTAAGTATGGGAAATACACGCATTTACAACCATATGAAGAAATAAAAAGGATTAATCTCGACAAGGCACACTTTATCACAAAGTCATATGTAAACATGAAAATAAATACTGAGACCTGAGGTCAAAGCCTCTAAATCAGCCATAACCATCCCTCTACTACTTTGGCATATGTTATATCTAAGAGAGGGGTTTGAATCTTGACATTATGAAAGAAGAAAACCAAATTAAGAGGGCGGTATTGGCCAAAGTGGACTGAAACACACCAAAACAAACCGAAATTTTACCCGATACAGAATATAAACCATTCGATACCAATTTAAGACTGGAACAGCCTAGATTACAATGATTGCAATCATGGTAGAGAAATATTTTTAGCTATAAGCAAAATGATGACAAGAAAAGTGATGCCAAAAGAAGTCATAATTCGGAATGGAATGGAAGGTCTTGAGAAATGAAATCAAGAATTGTCATGATGAGTACAGAATATGACATGTATTGGTCATTTATAGCTGAATTTCTAGGATATTTTCTAACCCAATATCGCATTCAAATCATGCAAAAGAAGAATCCTACATAGAGAACCAGAAATGTTTGAGTAAATTCTCTCAATGGATTCATTTGATGATCTAACTCAATTTTATTGTATCACTGTACTTAAACTCCACGAGATACACTTCACATCATGAAGCTCTGATAAATCAGTGAATAAAAAAACTATAAATGAACACAATTGAATGAATTTTAAATTACTCATTGGTCTTTTTAGTCTGCCTAGAAGCTATGTACAAATGAACTATACAAGTAAATACATAAAGTTTATACTTTGCATTGATGCCATGCTTATCAATTATTTAAAGCAGGAGACTTTATTACATGAGATTCATTAAGGTCATTGCATGAAGTTACTAACCAAATGTATTTTCACCACTGTATGTAACATAAAGAAAACCATCTTCGTCCTTCTTTTCATCGTAGATAGTTGACATAATCGCTCCTGCAGGTTGCTAATAACTAATTAGACAGATTACCATAGAAAGAGATAAGGCTAAACTTCGACAAATGCCCCGGAATTCTAAAACTTTATATTGATTAGAGTTAAGGCTTCTTTTAAATATAAATTAAATTCTAAGCGCTTACTTGAGTATAATAAAAATGTAGGGGCTTTCTTTAATAAACTTTTAAAACTTGGGTGTCATTTATTATTTTAGCCAAGGAAGAACTTGCAAAGGAAAATACCAGTTGGAGGGAGGACATTGTCCACAAATAAAAAGATAGCCCTTTCAGCGCTCAGTTTGATTCTCTTTCGAATAACATAGACAAACTGACCCACTGTCAAGTCAGCTGGAACCAAGTATCTGTAAATCGTATATTCAATGTTACCACCACTTGATAAAAAGTAATAATACGATGATAACAAGGATATGCCCTTTTTTAAGAAAATAAATATAGAAGATAATACAATATCGAGCACTTGGCATCAAACTGTTGCTCACTTCTTCTGTCGATGTTGGGAATGTCATTTCCCTTTATCTTCTCCACGATCACCTAAGAAACATACACAAATATCAATAGAAGAAAGCTTGGGGTCACAGAGTATAAGCTTTTCTTTTGTATCATGCATGCAGACAGTCAAAACATGTGTAAACCAATTCAAGCAGTCTCCACATATGGTTTTAATATAACGATTAGCAATTCATTCCAGGATTAAGGCATTGGCACTCTAAACTTTCGAGTGCCCGAGTTTCAGGCTTTCATCGTTCCTCCTTAAAGGGGCTTTTCTCAAGGGAGGCGTACGGTATCTGAGGCAGATGTTTAATCTTCATTAAAATTTAATAAATCGTTAGATGTCTCACTATTAGCTGTTCAACTTTAGCCACAACCCTAAACGGCAGAAGTTTTCCTCTCGTCAGCTTAGAACAGGCACCGGTTTTGCAAAAACCCAAAAGTTGTAACACGATATCCGCTATTATTCATGCAATCATGTCTAGCCATATCTCATGAACATACATCACAGTATATAACCACATTGACGCATTACATATGTTTATGCAGCAAACACTGCACCAGAAGCCGCCTGGGCACACGACTTTACAACACGGTGGAGTATTACACTACCCAATAAGCAAATGCAAGCCGGACCTAAGAGTCCAAACCCTTAAATTCAGACATGAAAAAAAAGGGGGACATAAGCAATACCTGACAACCAAAATTTACAAGTTAAAATTCACACAACACAACGTAAACCAAGCACAAACAAGCACAGAACAATCAAATTATTCTTTCAACACCATAAGAAAAATTAACAAAGGGGTAATAATTAATTCTTACTGGAATTCTATCAGGGTATTTTGCCCTAATTCTCGCCGCCTCAGCACGTCTTTTCTCTGAATATCAAGAACCCATAAATTAACTAAGTTAAACAAAAAAAAATTGCTAAACCAATAAGAACTACTACTAAAACACAAATTATGAGTAACATACCAAAGTCATGCTCGATCTTAAAGCTGCTTTTAGCCATTGTGCCCGTGTTACCTCTGCACAACAAGCAGATACAAAATTTTAAATCATTTACCGTGAAAAACAATAACTTAAATTCGAAATCAAGATAGAGAAAAATTAAACTACAAATAACGATCGGAGAACGAAATCAAGAGTCCGATCAAAGCAAAATTAACACGGGAAAATTCAAAATTTCATCGTACTAATCCTTACAGATATTGAGGAATCCAAATGAGAAATTAGTTTTAGTCTTTTTCCAAATATTTTGGTTTTTAGGTGAAAATAAAAAATAAAATGGATAAATCAGAGATATGAAAGGAGTATACAATAATACGGAAACTTAGAGACTGAATTAAATAGATGGATGAAGCAATCGACTTACGATAGAGACATGCTGAGCTCAGCTGAGCTGTTTCTGTCATTAATTAAATAAAATATAGGGTAAATTACAATGTTCATCACTGAGCTTTACTCTCTCCTATTTAGCTCACTAAACTTTAAAGTTTTCAATTTTTTCACTGAACTTAATACATTGGATTTTTTATCACTGAATTTTACTCTCTTTCTTATATTGATCACTCTTACATTAAATAATTAACGGTGTTAAAAATGATGTCTTTTGAAAAAAACAAAATTTTCACCAAAACGACGTTGTTTTGCATCCATATAATTGTTTATTTTAACGTCGTTAACTATTTAATGACCGAGTGACAAAAAAAAATCGAATATATTAAGTTCAGTGGAAAATTAAAAATATTTAAAATAATTAGTGAAATAGGGGAGAGATTAAAGTTAAGTTACCTAAATTGTAATTTAACCTAAAATAAAATAAAAGTAAAAAGACGATCTTAGGTTTGGGCTTCCGGCTTCTACGGTGTGCCCACCTTATCTTTTTGTGTTAGGTCTGAATTAGGTTTGATCTGGTTGAAGAACGAAATCGAGTTTTGTAATATAAATGGGTAAATAGCACATGACAATTGAACTTATTTCTCTTCTATTTCACTCATCGTACTTTCAGTTTTTCAATTTACTCACTAAACTTTATAGATTAAATTTTTTTGGCCACTCCGTTGTTAAATAATTAAACGACGTTAAATATGGTAAGTTACATCAAAACAACATCGTTTTGTATGCCTTAAAAAATAAACTTTAGACAAAAACGACGTTGTTTGATTAAAATATAGCCATGTCATAAGGTCGTAATTATTTAATAGCAAAGTGATAAAAAAATCAATACATAAAGTTAAGTGAATAAATTGAAAATTGATACGATGAGTAAATATGAAATAGAGTAAATTCAGTTACCAAACATGTAGTTTACCCAATATAACTTTATAAAATTTAAATATATAAAACTAATTATTAATAAAATGTAAACTATACAGAAGGTATAACGATATCCTAATTTCTCCTTCAATTCATATTTGATTGAGTTAAGATGGAATTATATGAATACGATTTTGGTTAAGAATTTATTGTATTTAAACAATTAAATATTAATAAAAACAGTGATTAATTTGATCTTTATAAGAAATATTGCTTTTAACAAGTTTGATTATGAAAATAATATTCATTTTAAAATTATAAAATTAACACCTAAAATTCATTATATGACGTCATATAAGACAAAAACGTGATTTGTTAGTAGGGATAACAACTGGTCGGGTTAGGGTCGGGTTTTTGGTTAATCATACTTGACCCGAAAATACATATTCTCCATTCAAATTCAATCAAACCCGAAAATTTTATATCTTATATCCGACCCGATACAAATTAAAGATTTAATTAAATAATAATATTTTTTAAGAAAGTTATATTAATATTTTCGAGTTGAAATTTTTTTCACCTTTTATCTGAACCTTACCTGATCGATTACATCCCTTAAAGAATTTGATCCGGTCTGAATCCAATTTTTTATAAAAGAATCCAACCCAATTGAAACAGATTGACCTATCGGATTTCGGTGAAATCGCCATCCATATGTTAGTTACGTCTTACAAAAGTACCATTAAGCTATGCGTGCGTTATCAAGTCATCAAGGCGAATGTAGTAGGTTTATCTTCTACATTTTCAGTTAAATAAGGTAGCTTGTACTTAAGTTTTATTGAAAACAAACTGTTTCTTTTCTTAAAATATCTAAGAAGAAAAAGAAAGAAAATTGTGCGACTGTTGTATTCATAACCTAAGAGTAAAAGAAATATGTCAATTAAAAATTTTTAACTATCTATTCTAGAAAATATTGACGTATAAAATTATTTTTTAAACTAATAAATATTGTATTATAATATTATAATTAATCATCGACCACTGCATAACTTTCTTTTTATTAAATTAATATAATTATAAAATAATATATATTTTAAATACTCTCAATCATTTGACAATAAACACTCAATCACCCTGTTATAGATGTTGGTGCTCGAACCCGTAACCTCTAGAAACAACGATTTATTTAACCACCACTACTCGAACACGAAACCTCTAAGAATAACAACTCACGTAGTCATTTGATAAACTTTACACTAATTTACCATTAGATTTAAATAAATAAATAATTAAAATTTATAACTCATAAATAAATATCTTTTAACTCACAATAAAAATATCCCTTTTTACCTCAATCTTAAATTTCAAACCCTAAATCTCATATTTTCAAATCATTAAACATATGCTTCAAACCTCAAACCATAACTCTAAACCATAAACCTTAGATCTTAAAGCTTAAACCTTAGATCATAAACTCTAATCCTAAAAAGAAAAAAATATTATTTTTACCGAGCTAAACAATTTACTTATAGGTTATAAATTTTAATTAAATCTAAACTATTTATTTAAATCTAATAACTATAAATTGATATAATTTTTTTTGCGTTAGCTGAATCCCAATTCATATATATATATATATATATATATATATATAACATATATGCAACATCATCTGGTCCATAACATCACATGCCAAAACTGGCCATTTAATAGCACAAACACTTTGAATAACTTGTAAAAGTAACGTAACGTGATAAAAGAGACTGGCATTATATATATATATATATATATTAAAGTCAAGTTCATCTTTTTAAGGAAAAAAAATGGGAATAAACAATGAATTTTGTAGATCGACTCAATCCTGTCAATTTTTAAGTGTGGTTGCATGAATAAGTTACGTATGCTTCGCGTTTTGAACTCTATTTCTTTTCCCTTTATTTAGTTTTGAAAACAAACCAATAATTCAATTAAGAATTGGAAGTTTAGGTTAGCCCGATGAGTATTAAAAAACACTTAAAGTTTAAGCATAGCATCAGCAATAAAGAGTTAGTTTCCCCTAAATATATGAGTTGGCCAAACAATAATGAAATCCGTAAAGATCAAAGATCCTGCTCTACTCTCAATGCACGGTCATACAGTTGAACAAACAATGATTCTTTCCACGTTCCCACACATTGAACATGTTTTTCCTTTTCCCAGTATTCACCAACAATAAGTAATACTACATTTCGACAGAAGACTACCACTTACCTTCCCTGTCATGGAAATTGCATGGAAGACACAAAGAATGTGTAACTCGGCCGTAGTCATGTTCTTTTCAATAGTATCCCAATATGATGCCAATCAAGCCGACAAGAAACACGTACATGAAGGGAACCACTCTGATTCTCTTGCCATTACGTCTCACGAGTTCCTGCAGATCAAATTTCAAATATGTAGTATGAAGCAATTTACAGAAACTGCAGCACCTTATCTAGTAATACCTTTAAAGCATTAATGTTCTTTAACACACTAATTTTCCTCCCTATTGGATAATTACAGATTTTTAGAACAGCTTCAGTGACAGGAAAAAGGAACATTGCCACTATTAGCTAGCCACCCTTTGACTTCAGTCTCCAGAGATGATGATTCTTTTAAAATATTTCTATTAGATTATTACCACATCATGTACAAGAGGCATTAACTCCACGTGATGATCAGATATATAGAATATATGATCTCAGAAGCTGATAATGCCCAATTTAAAGCTAGTCGCGTTAGATCACATTTTTCTCACATCAAATTCAAATGCATTTAAGAAGACAACACTAATAGTTCGATTTTAAAAGGGGCATCCAGCTTAAATGAACAAACTTCAAGCTTTAACTGGAGGCTAGCATTCATTGGCGTTTGTTTATCCAGCCTTAGCTCCAATACCCAAATCCTGGGATGTAACGAGAAGCATTTTTTCTGAATTTATGATTAATTACCACTAGGACAGGAAAATAATTCACTTCTTACTAGGGAACCACTCACTGTACATTGAAGTTAATTAAAAGGCAGAAAAAGTTCAAACAACATGAATTCCATGGGGGTTTAAACAAGAAAAGAGTGTCTTTAGCGTAGCGGGTATATTAAAATTGCTCTCTTCACACCAAGTATGCATGGCCTGAAAATACAGTTATGCTAAAGAGTGTGGAGGTTCAACTCCTCTTCAAGGCTTAATATAGAGAATTCTCATTACTATGTAGGTAATTTTCATTTACGAAAAATGACTAAATGACAATTTCACAAGAAGATTCTGGCAGGTGGCAACTAAATGGAGTTGAACGTAAAGAAGACATGCCTCCCAAGAGAAAATAAGAGAACCCCATATTAAAATATGATGACAAACTACCTGTGAATTAACACACAAAATCAGTAAGGTCACTTCAGCCTTGCTTTGATGGCAGGCGATATAGTAAATAGACAAAAAAGTCAATAATATTTCCACCCAAAGATGCATAACATTACTTGTATCATCAATGAATCCCTCAACTTATAATTCGGAAGACTAATCACATATCCTAAATTATGCCAGTTATGCAAATGAAAATGTCGACCATAAGCAACTACAAAAGACTGCTATCACGAATGGTCACTTCAATGGCTTAGATGGAACCTATCATTCCTTTCAAGGGGCAATAAAATTTGAAAACCAGACTAGAAATGCAAAAAAGTATAAGAGATACAGAGAGAGAAGTTACATCGGATGAGTTGTCTTGAGGTTTATGCTGGTCAACATGAACTCTGGACACCTGTAAGCTCAATCATAACACCAAATCACTCATTGATATATGAAAAAGAACGCATTGATCACACTAAAAAAACCCATTCAAAGTCAAGCAAAGCCAGGAAAGACTCACAGATGAAAGGTCTGCAGCATTGAAGCTTCCATTGTCAGAGATTGATGCCCTAGGTGAAGAGCCTTCCTCAGATCCTTCTCGAACAGGGGAAGGTGGCCAAGGAGGTGGTGCGTAAACAACTCTCAACTTGCACTCTTCAACAAGATGCTCGGATTCCTTATTAAACTAACACATTCAA